AAACAAATAGTTGTTTTAGTTAAAAAGAATGAAGTTCAGGATTTATTCCTTTGGTTTTGGGTAGAACTGTTTTTCATCCCTCTCATTAAGTCCATCAGGTTCAAGAGTACGTAGCTGATGCATCCAGAACCTTTCTCTCTGTTTTCTCCTTTGGGAGTCCCAACTTTGGTTTACCTCAATTATTTGAAAGGTGATATTTTCAAAAGTATGCCCTGTTCTTAAGAGGTGTCTCGTAATTGGACAGTTTCTTCCTTTTGTATAAAAAGACCAGTGATTGTTAAGTCTGATGTTGAATTTCGTTTCTGTTTCACCAACATACTGCAGCTTGCAAATTCCACAAGTTAGAATATAAATACTATTTTCCGTTTTGCAATTAGATGTAACATAGATGTTGTATCGCTGCTTTGTTACTGTGCTGCTGAAAGAGTGGTCAGTGTTGGCGACTTTACAGCACTTACAATTGGTTCTTCCGCATTGTTTGTAACACCAAATTTTAGAAGTCTCTTGTTTCTTTACATACTATATATGACTGTACATATAATATGTACAGTCATATGTAGTAAAAAGACACGTTATTTTACATTTTATCAACATCTGTATGTTGGCCTTTTTGTGTGTATTTGTCAAATGTTTATTTAATGATTTAAAATTTGTTACGCCTGGAAATAATGGATTGATATTCGGGGCAAAATAAGGTCCTTATCGCACATACCCCTTTCTTACCTCGGAACGATTCAGATTGACATATATATTGTTTGAAACTGTATGCCCGCAATTTTTACTCCACCTGTTACACGAGACATGTTACTCTTGTTAAAACAGTGGGTGAGTCATAATCGATGTAAAGGCTTCATGTAGGACTTGGATTAATTCATGACTATTGTCTAACCCCAACTCATTTCCAAATTAATGAACTATTGAAACATGCAAACTTTTAAAACTTTATACGTGACTGGCCGCAACATCTTTGAATTTGACAGTTTTTCAGAAAGAAACATCGCATAAATATAAAAAGGTAAAACATCACGAAACTCATTTATAATGAACCAGCGAGTAGCGTAACTACTACGGATAAACTGTTCTTGCTCTACTAGGGGAAATGTTGTGTTCCTTTTGACGATTATCTATCTGGTCACAACGCGTACTCAATGGTGTCATAAAGGTGGAAAAAAGCTAGGATAGATGAAGCATATCCGTGATTCAAGTGAATTTGAAGTGTATGATATATTACCGTGCACATACCACGTGTTTTGTTTTAGAAGAGCCTTCATAAAATACTGGACAATTTTTTTTTTATATTTAACTATTTTTTGTTTTACATTTTATTCACCAAAATATTATACTCATGTATTGCATTGCCATTCATATATGGTACTGTAAAATGCCATGCTTGTAACAAGCTATTTATACTTCAATACTAATATACATTTATTTCCCGTGCCTGAGGGAGATATGAAGATTTGAAAACCCAAGAAAATTCATATTTCACGAGGGCATCGACCGAGGGAAATATGAATTTTCGGGGGTGAAAAATTCTTCATTTCTCCATAAGCCAATGGAAATGAATGTTTTATTCCACTGCCTATCCTTTTTTTTACTTCTTGAACATAAAATGTTAATTTTAATACATGTTTTCTTATCTGCTTGTTTTTATAACTATACACAACATAAGCATTGATAAACAGTACTGATCAAAAGATAGTTTTTAATTCTTTTTTTGTTTGTTTTAGGTCTGAAATAATTTTGAACACGAACATTACTATACTATTGCTATTTTAAAAACAACCATTCAAAATGTTATGTACATTAACGCGCGTAACGTCGCATAAGGAAGTCCCGATGTTCAGAGGGGAATATGATACTAAGAGGGGAATGTGAAGTTTTGTTCAACGTCACATGGGATAGTTTCAACCAATCAAATGTTGACTTCTGTATCAATAAGTTCATAAAGTGGTTTAATATCTGTTGGCTGGTGTTGTAATTGTCATTCTCTTATGGGGTAAAACTGCTTTATATGAGGTCTATTAGCGACCTCAATTATTTATATTTATTCTAAATCAAAGATTGGCAACATTTGTTGCCAATTTTCAACATGCAAGTCGATGACTAACCTGCAATTGGCTTCAAAGACATGTTCATAGGTAAACAACACACAAAGATTAAAACATGAGAAATACTTACTCCAATAGAAAAACAACAGAAGAGAGTTGTAATCTTATTGAACTAAATTTAAAGATAAGAACAATGATATACAGTCCATTTGTCTTTAAAGCTATTTCGCATGTGCCTCGTTATGACACTTTTTACTAGATCAGACTATGAAGGTAATTAATCGATACCAGGATACAATGATATTGTTGATTACATGGTCTCGTCACATTTTGAGATCATGTGATTCCGTATGCATTCACTCCAATATTTGTCTACTTTATTATAACATATTAAAGATGTATTACCTGGTTTTGAGAACTATAACTGAATATATAAATACTGTGGATTCATTTTTATTCGTGGTATACCAATTTTTTGGGTTTCGTGGGTCACAGCGAACCACGAATTTAAGAATTCAACGAAGAATAATCCCAAGAAATGTGTATGGAGTCGGATGTATATTTCCGCTTATGTTTACAGTTCTAGTATAGTGTTGACTAGCGATAAACATTGTAACATAACACATGTTTTTATTGAAAGAAGATACAAGTATTTTGATTAAATTAATAATAAATATATCGAATATCAGTGATAATTTACTTTTTAAAATTGATTAAAACTTTTCATGGAAAATAACGGCAAGTTGTTAATTACCGTGTCATAGTTTGGTTTACTGGTGATTAAAAATCAATAGGATTAAGTACGGGGATATTGCCCGTAGGTAATACTGTTGATGACAGGAACATTTATTTTCACACCTTTTACTTATATGACTGTTTATTAGACGTGTTAGAAAAGGATTTAAATACTGCTACAAGATTCATGTGTGGACTTTCTCAAAATACAATTCCATTGAAAAGTATCCCGGCGTAGTATAGTTTAGCTTTGTGGTGTGTTTGATACAATATGAAGCGAACGGTTAACGTCGACTCCAAATTTTAAGACGTGCATTGGCCTCTCGTAGATCTTCATACATTTATTTGTATTTGTTTGATTTAGGAGTGAAAAACAAAACTTCAAATAAAAACATATGTAAACTAAAGGGTCAAGAATGGGAATGACGGATTTTTACGGCCACAAGTCGAAATATATCATTAAATGATATGAGTGGAATATGTTTAACAGTGATATAATTCAGTTTGCCTCTCCACAAGTCCAGCACAAAATTCAACAATTTAACTTGATTCGTGTCTTGGATGTCTCCACAAAGTTCCGACAACCCTAAATGTTTTTAAACGTTCGACATAAACTTGACATTCTGAAATTCTTCTATTTAGTTTTTTGCATTTTCTTTTTTCCTATTTCGGTTTTGTCTTATTTTTTGTCTCCTATATGGCGAAACAATTGGTGGAAGGTTCGCATAAATCTTATCACATAAATTAACACAGTTTGGAGGGAAATCCAATTCCAAGTTGTTGCCAATTCTTGGAAGAAGGTTGTCTTGCTGCGCATCGTTTTAATGTTCAACAAAACCACTTTTCATGAGCCATATGTGATTCGTATTGTCTATTACTATCTGGGTTTGAAGCAATGAATGAACAGATAGACGAAAGAACGGACGGATGGACCCATTTGGACCCATTCACCCAGCACTATATACCGTCCAATTTAGAAAGCAGAGTGTATAGTGATGATAGTTTGAGATGGTCCCCACTATAGCCTGTAGTGGTATTGGTATTTAACATCAGCGTCGAAATCGTATTGACTCTCCTAACACTTCTAGTATATCGTCAAAAAGAAATCCACGAATTACGTATCTGATTTTTTTTTTTGTAATCAGCGATCCACGAATTTACGTATACCACGAAACGTCTTTTTTTCTCTATCCACGAAAAAAGATACCCACGAAAATAAATGAATCCACAGTACTGCCTTTATATTCCACACATTATTGCTGAAACAATTGAATACATAGTCATGATATGACCTGGTAAAGATGGTTTTAAAACCAGGGTTTTTTTGACGGACCATATCCCTATTTGTATGCGTTTTCTTCTTGTTATGCAATACTCGACAGCAATATTGGAGAATAAGAATTAGTAATATACTGTATCTGTTAAATCCATTGTAAAATAAGTGTTTGAATATCTAACAATAAAAGTTAACTTATGGAAATAGAATTCAGTAATAGTCACCATTTTTTTGTGTTCAATTAAGATGCTTGCGTTTGTTTCCATCATCAATTGTCATTTTGCCAGTAAATTTACAAAGATACAAGTTGCATCGGTTAGTCTACGAAATCAAAAATTTGTATTCTTATTTGATCAATAAATAACACAAAATCAAAGTCATGCATGACAAATATTTAAAAAAAACCCAGTCAGTTCCTTTGTGGCCTCGTGGTAGCGTGCTTGCCTCGAGAGCAGGAGGTCGTGGGTTTGATCCGCGGCCGGTACAACTAAAAGAATTTAAAATTAGTATATGCTGCTTCACTGATAAGCACGCAACATTTTGGAATAAGAGCAAAGACTGATCGGGTTATATTTCTTCCTGTGGAGTCTACGTTACCTTATGAACCAGCATGTTAAACATCTGGAATAGCGGGACGGTCTAGTACAAAGCAGGATTCGTGTTTATATTGCATTAACGTTCTGGAATAGCGTGTCGGTCTAGTTCAAAGCAGGATTCGTGTTTATATTGCATTAACGTTCTGGAATAGCGTGTCGGTCTAGTACAAATCAGGATTCGTGTTTATATTGCATTAACATATTCTCGTTTACAATACAATATACATTCTATTTACCGCAGGACGTACAACAGCCATCCCATCATTATCATTACCAACAAAAGAGGAGTCTGATTACACAAACTAGAAATGCAATCGAATGAAAAATATCAATGAAACAACATTGCTTGAAAGAATTTTATACATTTAAATTCATATATAGATATAAGAAGATGTGGTATGAGTGCCAATGAGACAACTCCCCAACCAAGTCACAATTTGTAATGCTTATTATACAATAGGTAGATGTGGAAATCGTAGTCTTTCATGATAAACAAAATACTCTTTACAGTATATCAGCCCGTTATCTTGGTGTTTCCTATAAATAGATACTTCAAATTAAAAAAAGAAAACTGTACAACCATTTTCCAAAAATGTTTAGTATCTGTAACCCTTATGTCACAATTCAATGCGTATCTTATTTCTGAATAAAAGATTACACTGTCGCCATTTCCGGAAATAATGTTTTCAGTCAGTCAAATGTGTCCCTTGATTTACTCATATATATACTTTCTTCTGTTTTGACTGACACCTGCTTATTGAATCCTTTCAGTGGTTAGTCAGTATAGTACTGCAGGGTGAGTGATTAAAATTGCCGATTTTTTGTTTTTCCTTGGCAAACAGTTTTCTGTTAAAGATTAAGAAAACTAATGGATTCATAAGGTTGTTAATTGGAGCCAACACATGTAAAAATGTGAATAAATCTTCAGCGGGTATAATATCGAACACATTTAACACTTGTGCCAAAGTGATTGGAGTCCAACTTGCAATATAAACTGAAATGTAAAAAATAAATAGGACTATATTATGCGGTGTAAAACGCAATCAGTTAATTCATAAAGTGTATTGAAATTATTTAAATAGTTTGATAGTTAGAAAATATTTTTTTTTTCTGACATTCTCTTATTAAGATCTTTCGTAATTGTAATGTTTGAGTGGTAATGTGGTAAAATATATATTTTTTGTCATAATTTTACGGATTGCCAAGTATTGTTACTTTTGGTTATTTTTGTTAATTACTATAGACAAACTTAAAATTTTGCAGAAAATGTTAAGAATATGTACAAACATGTTTGTTTTATGCATGCGTGCAACGTTAGATGAATTTGTTGAATCGTTTGCTTTTCAACTATCACAGAGTACCGGCCAATTACTATGCAGAATGTCCCCCGATTTGTTTCTGCTTTATAAACCAATCTATATATTTCGAATGTTCCAATAAATGTTGATTTTTAATCCGATTGCACGTGTATTGTAAATGTAAAACACTAGTAGAAATCTGAAGATAGAGTTTACCTATGACGACTACTAGTGACAGCTTTATTGTTTTCTTTTTAGCAGTTGTAATGACGGAGGTAGAAGTTGATTCTGTATTTAATGTATTACCCAGGAAAGTCGTTGTACCTACAAGTGAAAAAAAAAATGTGCTCAATACGTGAAAAACATTATAACAGTAAATTCCTTAATCTTTAAACGTTTTTCTTCATTCATTCTATCGGTAATGGAGTTAAGGAATAACAGTACTGTAGTTGAAGAGTTTTTGCCGTCAATAAGCGATTTGATGGTTTTACTGGCGTCCGTACGTAGCTGAGCAAGTAAAACGGATATTTTCGACAATCAAATCCAAATTGACGGCGGCAGCTCTTCAACTACAGTACTGCTATTCCGATTCTAATGCATTACAAAGAGAAAAAATACGAAAAATAAATAAAAAATTTGCGATAGAATAATATTCTGCAAAAACTTCATGAACGATTTTTGGCACATTAACGTTATGGTCAAACGTGACGTCATAAAGATAAAAACTACCAAACTGAAGGTTATAATGTTACTTCTACGATTCAAATTTGTATTTATTCACATAAAAACGGCGTTTTGAGGAAGGTGTTGTTTTATTTCCGATTATATTGTAGTAATCGAACATTTGTTGTTCCAAGCCATACAATATGGCGGCTAACTCCCTAGTTACGACATGTCAACTGAAGATTTGACGATAAATCTTAGCCAACGAAAAAAATTGTAACATACAAATTGCATTAGAATATGGTATAATGATTCAAATGACCAAAAAGTAAAAAATGGCAAATATTGTAAAATTTCGACTGAGATTTTATAGCACAATAACACAATGGCGGGATGAATAAATACCTAGCCACGTCAAAAGTATATACCAAAAATGGACTGAACAGTAAAGGTTAAAAGTATACAAAGATAAATCAAAAGAACACTATAACACGTAATCAAGGTGATAAACACCGTCAGGACCTAGAATCTATACTTCAAGACCATATACTTTTATAATAGCAAAATTACCGAACCTCTGATCTAAAATGCCACTTCATTTTAAATTCAAATAATAAATAAATTCTAGCAAGAATGGCATTTTTGATCAGAGGTTCGGTAATTTTGCTATTATAAAATTCCAACTTTGACCTCCTGACAGTAGTTAATATACTTACCATGTGAACTTTCCGTATTTGGTGACCAATCAAGTCCAAATCTTTCTCGTCGAATAATGACTCTTATGATCAACGTATAACATGATATTATTATACAGACTGGGATTATCCAATTTATGAAAAATTCAGCAAGTACCATAGCCTGTAAAAAGTATTATTCTATAGATTAAACCATTTAAGAAAAGGTTCCCAGGGACATATACCATACGTTAATTTTGTTAGCATAGCTGGTGGAAATCTTAAAAAATAATTACTGCTGCATTTGACAATACAGAAAAATGTATTAGTTGAAGATTAATCTTCAAATGAAAAAAAATAATGCTCAGGAGTTATTTGTGATTTTATTTTCTACAGTGAATATACTGTAGAGATTCTCAACGCAGAAAACAAACAAATTGTAACCTGCCACCAAGTACAAGTATAAACGGCGTTGTATACGTAAGCTGTGTAACCATTGTTTTGTCCGAAAGCAGCTCCTACATTGAGGACATATAAAAATCGCTAATTTTAATGCAGAAACCAAATGCATATGTAAATAAAATGATCTGCTGGGGCGCAGCTTGATACGACCGCAGAGGTCGAACCCTGAACAGTTGGGGCAAGTATGGACACAACATTCAAGCTTGATACAGCACTGAATTTGGATTGTAATTAAATATTTGACACAGCATAGGTTTCTGACACAGAATGAATGTGGTCTAAGAACTTAAAAAATTTTAATTTACCTATTCAAACGATATCCTTATTATTTGCTTTTATATATAAATCAGAAATAACCAATTTAAAATGGAAAATTTTACAAGAAAAAAAAGGAAACCCCCCCCCCCCCAAATTTTTTGAACCCCCTTATGATTCATCATCCCCAAACTCAATCTCAGCCTTCCCTTTGTGGTATGGTACCTTGCAGTACAATTTCAGAGAGATCCATACACTTGAACACAAGTTATTGTCTGGAAACTAGAAAAATGCTTGTTTTTTGGCCCCTTTTTGGCCCCAAATTCATAAACGTTTAGGGCAATTACCCCCAAACTCAAACCCAGCTTTCCCTTTGTGATATGGAACCTTGCAGTACAATTTCATAAAGATCCATACACTAACACAAGTTATTGTCCTGAAACTAGAAAAAATGCTTGTTTTTTTGCCCTTTTATGGCCCCTAATTACTAAAATTTTGAGGGAATTGCCCCCAAAATCAATCCCAGCCTTCCCTTTGTGGTATGGTACCTTTCAGTACAATTTCAGAGAGATCCATACACTTGAACACACGTTATTGTCTTGAAACTAGAAAAATGCTTATTTTTGGCCCCTTTTTGGCCCCTAATTCCTAAACGTTTTGGGCAATTACCCCCAAACTCAATTCCAGCTTTCCCTTTGTGATATGGAACCTTGTAGTACAATTTCATAAAGATCAATACACTTACACACAAGTTATTGTCATGAAACTAGAAAAATGCTTGTTTTAAGCCCCTTTTTGGCCCCTAATTCCTAAAATTTGGAGGCAATTACCCCCAAAATCAATCTCAGCATTCCCTTTGTGATATGGAACCTTGTAATACAATGTCAGAGAGATCCATAGACTTACACACAAGTTATTGTCATGAAACTAGAAAAATGCTTGTTTTTTTGCCCCTTTTTGGCCCCCAATTCCTAAAATTTGGAGACAATTACCCCCAAAATCAATCCCAGCATTCCCTTTGTGATATGGAACCTTGTGGTACAATGTGAGAGAGATCCATACACTTACACACAAGTTATGTCTGGAAGTTACAAAAATGCTTATTTTTGGCCCCTTTTTGGCCCCTAATTCCTTAACTGTTGGTACCATAACCCCCAAAATCAATCCCCACCTTCCTTTTGTGGTATTGAACCTTATGGTAAAATTTCATTGAGATCCATTCACTTAAACTAAAGTTAGAGTGCGAAAACTAGTCTTTCTTCGGACGACGACGACGACGCCGGACGACGAAGACGACGACGACGACGACGACGCCAACGTCATACCAATATACGACCACAAAATTTTTTTTGCGGTCGTATAAAAAACGAAATCCTCATGTTTCCTGACATCAATGTTTTAAGTCACTAAAACAAATAAAAAAAATCATAACATACATGTCGAACATCATTGACCAACACTACTTTAAAGTACAAGGTTTAAGTTTCACTTTCACATAAAACCACTGTTATTAGATTAGAAGAAGTTTATTCATATGAGGCTAACTTCATATAGGACTTTCTTAGGAAGAACGAAAAGAAGCTAGACTTATCCTATAACTTCACTTTCTGCCATATATATGATGTTCTCTCACCAAATAATTCAAAGTTTGGTGACTAAGTTGAATGCATCTATACCATCGAACTTGACATAAAGGATACAACAGATTCACTAAAGTCTGCCTCATATCTTTACTAACATCTAGAAATTGACAATGAGGGTCGGCTGAGAGAAAAAATTCACGAACAAAGAGATGATTTTAGCTGCTTTCAAACTGTGAACTTTCCATTTCTATGTAACAAGATTCCAACAGCGCCTGCCTATTGAGTATATATCTCCCAATTGATACTACGGGACTTTCTTAGGAAGAACGAAAAGAAGTTAGAATTATCCTATAACTTCACTTTCTGCCATATAGATGATGTTCTCTCACCAATTAATTCAAAGTTTGGTGACTAAGTTGAACGCATCTATCCAATCGAACTTGAAATAAAGGATACAACAGATTCAGTAAAGTCTGCCTCATATCTTGACTTACATCTAGAAATTGACAATGAGGGTCGGCTGAGAGAAAAAATCACGACGAAAGAGATGATTTTAGCTGCTTCCAAACTGTGAACTTTCCATTTCTATGTAACAACATTCCAGCAGCGCCTGCTTATTGAGTATATATCTCCCAATTGATACTACAGGGTACGATATTACAGGGCTTGCGTTTCCTATCATGATTTCCTTATAGAGGGGTGCTGCCTACAAGGAAGCTATAAAACCAAGAGTCCCAAGTGGTGATGTTGAAGTCATCCCTTCGGATATTGTACGGACGCCATCACTAGTTGGTTGACCGTTATGGAATATGTTTTTCACAGATGACGACGGATATGTCCCCATCATCATAAACACAATCCCGTCCTAATTTTCCCGAATGTGACCTACCGAATTAGACTTATCAACGATTTTGTACTTTCACGAGCAACACGACGAGTCATAAATGTATAATTAACTTTATGCCGTATAGATAAACTAAAATTCTTACAGCAAAATAATAAAATGCAAATGTCCAAGGGGTTTTAGTAGATCTCATAGAAAATAGTCGAAAGATGCAAAACAAAAAAGAGAATAAAAACTCGTAAACAAAAATACCCTGGCAAAAAACGAAACTACGAAAAGACAAACAATAGTTTACAAAACACTGAAAACAAATTAAAGAACAAGCAACGCGTAATCTCATATGCTTGAATAGGATGAGCAGACCTCGCTTTACATGAGGTGCACGTATCATTGATCATCGTAAGTATAATTCGATGTTAAATTTCATTCAGTATTGTCACAACAGAAGAAAAGAGGACATATTTAAAATAACGGTCAATTAACTCTTGATGACTTCAACTGTACAACCAAGAACCACATATAAAATACATTTGCGTTGAAATAATTGCAAAGTCAATTGATAATCTCAACTGTAAAAAATGGCAAATATTGTGAAATTTCGACTGAGATTTCAAGAAACGAAAATCGCATCAATTAAATTTTTTTATTTACAAATTCTTAGATTTGACATATATTTTGATTGCAAACTATCGACTTCAAGCAAGAACCTAATTAGTTTCTGTGATAGAGGTGATATTGCCAAACACCGTTATATGTTTTTAGTTGATTCTTGCGCACGCTCTTTAATCTAAAGTGTTATTAACATTAAACGTAATGGATGTTTATGGAAGAAACGCTTTGAAGTGTAATTTCTTTGATGCAATAACTTTATTTTCTGTGACGTAATTGCTTCGTAACAACATGTTTCAGCTTTAAATAGATATACATACATAAATGAAAAATTTACATTGACACTACCAATGTCAGTGAAATTAAAGGGTAAATAAGGACCTTATCACTTCCTGTTCTTATTGAAGTAGAATTGGAATCTAGTCTTACTTTTAAGCTGAATTAGGAAGTAAAGATAGACGTGTATGTTCCTTTCTTTAGGGTAAAAATTATGCACTTATTTATTTTCATTTGGCAACTTTATAGTAAAGTAAATATTATGCGGAACTTCTTCCCTGATATGCACGTTACAAACCGGAAGTATGTGACCCTTAGCCATTTTATGTCCCTTTTAGCCAGTGGTCAGTTTTGACCAGTAAAATACACATACTCAAAATTTACTCGTAACTCTCGAGTCTTCCCCGTGTTTAAATCGATGTTGTCGGTCAAGGTCTCACTCCTTTTGTTTCGCAGAGTATAGATACAGCGAGTTTTGAGTAATAAATCAGTTGCAGCTTGAGCCGACCTGTAGTTCGGTGATTCTCTTACCTACGGAATTAAAATAATTCCACCAGGTTTACATAGGAAGACGTCCTAGATAGTGACCTTGTCACTTTTACTATAAGATAGTTGATTTGTTAACAAAATCTAGGGACCGTCTCAAAACATATAGGTATTGCTACTCTGTTCATTTAATGTAAAATTACACAACGCGAAGCATTTTATTCCAATATAGATTATAGGTATATTTAGGGTGGACTTTATATTTTGAAAAGATTTACTGTTATTAGGTTATTGTTATAATATACTTTTGTTGAATTTTATTTACTATTATTATTTTGTCAAATAAACATGGTTGTTATTTTAATTATCTTAGTTTAGTTAAAGCCATTGAACAACTAGAACAGGTGTATCCTACTTGATCGAGTTCTGGGAAAGGTACTAGCCACTACACGCCCAGAAAGAGAAGCTAAGCAACCCCGATCGGTTACATTATTATAATTTAAAGTATTCGTTTGTATTTAGCTGCCATTAACAGGGAATTGCTTGAAACGAGGAATGTAGAGTAGATGATAAGAATAATTTTCTGATTTAAAAATCTATATGTTTGCTGTATCGAAAAACCCCTTGCGTTGACGGGTTTACTTGGACTTTACAATCAGAGTACTTGTATAATGTATTAATTATTTATTGTCTAATAATATCTAATAGAACACTAATTCATTAAGTGTAATTTTGTTAAAAAAATAGCCTCTTTTATATATTTACGGAAATAAAATAACTAATACATACCTCCATATGCTTGAAATCATGCAAGCATATATTTATTCCCTGTACTGTACATGAAAACCTAATATTTAAGGCATATGGTAGTGCTAGTACTAGAGCCAACATCCATGCGCCAGATACAAGTCCATAACGATATCTCTTTCTTTTTGTTGACGCTGATAATGGGTGTACAATAACAAATAACCTGTCTATCGTTAGGACAACAATCAGAAATGTCGACGCATAGATTGTCATATTAGCACAATATCCGTATAAGATAAGACAGGAATACTTTTCCCAATCATTAAGGAATCGTTCAAATATACAACTCGGCAGAACATATAGTAGTCCAACAAATAAATCTGAAGATAGAGATTCACAATATAGAAGAATGAACAGTTTCATAAATATAATGTAAAAATATATCAAAACAGCTTCAAAGTTTATGAATACGACCTAAATTGTCTTATGAAGAGAAAATTTATTGTGTTTGTTTAACTATGACCGGTAAAAAATGTTTTGAAATATTTCGCATCACTTCATGGAGGATTAAGATATTCTATTGTCATGTAACATAGTGGTGATTTGATACTGACAACAAAAACAAAAAACAGATTATCAATAAATGTGTTCCTTAAGTTAACAAATTAAGAAAACGCTGTTGATAAAATATTCAAAATTAATATAGAATCATGTGCAAAACAGTGTAGCCGAGACCATTGATTGGCGCGCTAAAATATCCCATTGACTGGGTCAGATTAGGTGAACGTTCGTCTGTAAAGCCCAAAACTCACGACGTATTTATTATAAACATGTAAAGTGTGAGGTTGCCAAAGGGTCTCAGTATATATACGAACTACAGTGCACAGTATATTATATACATATTTTATTTGCGATCATAAAATGTACGAAGTCGTCCATTACTATGTAAATTGGGTCGATTAAAAAAAAGCTGAATATGTTTCTGTTGCCAAGGGTTTTTCACAAGTATAGTAGTTAGCAGAAAAGATCACCAAACTATACATTTTACCTATTCAAAAACGTAAATGCAAATTTCACAAGGCTTGATCCAAATAGCCTTTTTACTGTCTAATAACTTGCAAGTACAAAAAAGACAGGAAAGAAGTCTTTTTTGTCTATATGTTTTGTGTTTGCACACTTTTTAAAGTTGATCATGCATTCGTTCTAAAATAAAATTTTGACCAGATAAAAGTTAAAAGATGACATAATTGGACAACCGCAATTGTTAAATCGCTTTGACGTCCGAAAAAAAGATAATAATCAACACATCCATTGTAACTTTTAAAGCCAGTTAAATCCTTTTTTGCTGAAAGAACGTCCGATATCATAAAAATTCATTATCAAAACATAACAAAAACACAAGTAAAGAACGTTTAAGTATTCAATATAAATCAAAACACAAAGGTTATTCCTGATTAGTTTTTCGAATTATTTTATTTAGGCGTTGAGACCCTTTGGTGACCCCACAGTTTAAATGTCTATAATAAATACGTCGTGAGTTGTGGGCCTTACAGACGAACGTTCACCTAATCTGACCCAGTCAATGGGATATTTTAGCGCGCCAACCAATGGTCTCGGCTACACTGTTTTGCACATGATTCTATGTAAACCTTACAAATTACCTGCAATGCCCAGATGTTTAACAAAGAAAGCCATCCTGCTCTTCTTCTTCAGTCTTATCAACATTAAAATCAGTACTGTATTGAGTATGATTATCCCTACTGCCTCTGTCAGAGCAATCCATTTTATTATAGGAGAGACGGCAGGTTTTTTTAACAATATCTAAAACATTTGTATTATCATAGATAATATAATACACCAAAACAAAAATATTTAATTTCAAACCTAAACGAAAAAATAGATATTAAGTTATGAATTTGATTAATCTTTCATCATTACCCAAAAGAAAATTATTAATTTGTGACTGAAAAAATGTCGATATAAATTGAATTTGTTTTAGGGTAAAATGTATTATAAATCATTTACTTTTAGGAAACAAAAGAATATTGCTTTCCCATTTGTGTTTCCAACATCTATTATTCGTTTTGAGCAAATTGAACACATACGAAACCAAAAAAATAAACGTCAAAACAAAAATAAAAGACATCCTACCTTTCTCCAACAGATGATCTGTTGAGGTAAGTTTAATACTGTCCATTTCCTTTAATATAGAGTACACATCTATATTACTTAATGCCGTGATCGAAAAAAACAAGTTGACAGATAATTTTCAATTGGTAATCCCATATTTTCTTACATTAGATAAGACACAATAAAACAATATCTGTAATTTTAGGATAAAATATGTTATTGCCACTCACAAGTTAATGTTTTGACTACTTACATGTTTTATATCGACGCACTCGTTGGTTTCATTTATTGTCACATTCACAGCCATGATATTTTTTAACCTAGAATAGAAAAGATAAATATATGCCGATTGTTTTTTAAAAGGTTTATTAAATTCATGTCAAGTTAGCCACTTGAAGATGATGCATAAAATCCAACCAATGCAAAATTCAAAGAAGAACCTTAGTACATTATATTTATTTAGATTAAGACTGTTTCTGAAAAATAATTCGTGTCAATGTCTTCATACATCATGCATTTCAATTCATAACAGCGTAGTTATTTAACTAATTATCTAAGTTACATTCGGTTTATTGATTCATTAGTCAGACCTGTATTAACTTATAATGTTAAATTATGCACGATGGACTCGTTGCTACTTTTTATGATAGCAAAAGGTCGCACGAACTGTAGTAACAAATTTGTTGATCCTTTTTGTTTAACAGATCAATCACCTTTAGAAAAGGTTCCTTTTTCTTTCTGTAAATACATACAGGGTGTTAGAAAATGCTCCACAAATTTAGCTACTGGTCTTGAGGTGGGAAGGTTACCAATGAAAAACTATATTAAAGTGCTGTGTTTATTGTATTTGGCAAGACTACATACTAAATAAATTAATCACCTATTAAAGGAAATTTCTTTTCTGAAATTGTTTCTCAGATTACTGACTTTATGAGTTTTACGTACAAATAAATGCTTTGATATATACACAATCTCAATTTTCAAAAGGTACAAATTAAAGTATGGGTTAATTTTTAATACCGTCAATGGAACTGAGGAGAAGGGACTCTTGATTAAATGATTGTTATGAACTTAGTTGTATATATGTTTTATGTAATTTTCATTTTGTTTGGCACAAACTGTACTCACTATATGCTTTACGAAAACAAAGATCATGTAAAATGCTGAAAAAAGGTTCGTGAATGAAAAATATTTGTTGTAAAAAAAACCCAAATAACACCCTTTCTTAAGCATGGATCCCCCTCTCCCTATGTTGGAAAATCGGTCCTTCCCTTTATATATGGGAAGTGTGTTTACGGACTTGGTGCCATAATTTGAAATGCCGTATTCTTTCGTTTTCGTGAATAAGAAAACAATGATGAACATGATCATTATACAATTACTAGTAGTTTTTAATCAATAACTGAAAGTACGCTATTGATTGTCCATTATGCCTGATAACAGGTTAATCAAACAAGTCTGATAAGGAAAAAAACAGGTATAATACAGGATTCTAATTTCCGGCTAGAAGAGCGAAGTGTGTATTAGGCAAACTGTTAGATGTTCAACAAGTTTGATATTGAGTTTGTTGTTATTGTCCAAATATCATGATTATTTTTTCCTTATCATATACAATTATGACCCGTAGAAAGAGTGAATATCAAAAATTGTCCACCTAAAAAATTATTTCCTTGATATTACGTTTTTGTTTAGAATATGAAAACTTTAATTATTGTTGTTATTTTACAGTATGAATGATTTTAAATGTAAGTTGTATTTTTATTTTTGAAGGTGAACTGTATGCATGTATTTTGTTTGAGGGCCTCAATGAAAATAAGACAGCTTCTTATTTGTTTACCCTCTTCACAAATAACGAATGGATTATTATTAGTATTATTAAAACACTATATTACTTTCAGGAATAACAACACAAACCGTATAATATGGTTATCGTTAGTATTACACATGCTTCTTTAATAACCCTTATTAACATTCATTTTACGCATAGAAACCAACAGATTGGAAAACGTCAGACAGCTTAATTGCAATGTCCACTTTGTCTTCAGGGGTTGTCACCGAAGATATAAGACAATAATATATATCTAAAATACTGCAAATTTCGATTATCTTTAGGTTTATGTTGACTTCCCAATGTCTAGAAACCATCCTTCAGATGAACATGAAATGTTGAACGTCAACCAGTCACACCAGATATGTTCAGTACCTTTTGACTATACTGCAACATGTAAATACATGTAATCAAACAGAAATATGAAATTAAAAAAAGAAATCTATTGCATATCAATAGAGGCGACAGTAGTTTATCAATTTTAAAATCTAGAAATTAGATAAAGGAGAGAAAAATCAAGGCAACAAACAAAAAAAAAAAAAGGATAAGCATGAATTCAAAAAAGAGCGAGACCGGGTTCGTCGACCCGGTAAAAATGTATCAACCAATCAGCACTTTCGTTATAAAAGCGTTTCCATCTCACAAACGAAAGTGATACATTTCCTGCAATGAAATATGACAGGATCAGGAGACGTAGCTGTTGAAAAAAGTTTTGCACCGTTCAACGATGACGGTATACAATATGCGAAAATGATTTTAGTTTATGTTTGGGAGAAGTTATAGAGAAACTTATAGAGCCAAATTTTCATACAAATAATTGTTATTTTTTCAAGTGTAGCAGTTAATTATTATAATCCACACATGTAACAATAGATGGACATTTTTGAAGCATGGTTTTGAAAATATCGATAAATGTTTCTATTGTAATTCTTTTTAAATGAACTCAGTTTTTTCTGAAGTCATACAGCTGATGTTTGTTTTAAACATAACATAGTTTCGCGACAGCATGGACTTTTTCGAACTAAGTTTTAATGCCTGTGCGATCTAGCGTGGTTTTACAGAATACTTCTGTTGCTTTTAATACTCGTACTGATACCATTGTATGGATCAATAATTTGTTTCAGTGTATTATCAAGTATTGACTATGAACATATACAATAAATTTACATTGTCTCGAAATATAAATTTTATTTGTACAAGGCTTAGAAGCAGGTAGAAAGCGAGGCTGTGCCGAGCATTTCTATCTTGTTTTGAGCCGAGTACAAATAGAATTGATATTTCGAGACAATGTATGGTTATTCTTTATATACTGCAACTCCTACAACTGTTCCAAATGAAGTATTTAGGGTAAAAACCATCATTTTTTAATTTAGAGCGAACGACGTAAAAATTCCGCGAACCTGTACCTTTTAATGACGTCATAAATAAAACTCTACGGAAACGCATTGTCAACGTCATAAATAAGTGATATACGGTCAGTGACTGTATATCGCAAATGATTATACGGTCAGACTCAATACAATTTGACTACGCAAATAGCACAGCTGTAGTATATAATGGAAATTAATTGTACTTCCAGATAGATGTATGTTCCATGCTCATTATCTAATTACGATACATAAAAATTTTTAGGGTTTTGATTTTTATATTGCAGAAATTACACTGAGGTGGATGTAAATATGGCTGGATTTATAAACGCCCCTTAAAATGTTGCCAAAGAGAGTTTGCTAAGGTGTGCAACACTTTTTGGTATACGTCCCTCTGTATTCATTGCCTTAAAACAATGAATGTAATTTGCAGTATTGAAATCATCTATAAATGTAGGTAGTGTCTATTAGTTTAAATAGATAGTTGTCTCATAGATAACAATCATACCAAATTATCTGATTTGCCTTTGATATCCTTTTCAATGTATGTCACATTATTGAATAAATATATTTCCACGATGATGCCAATAAATGTAATTGCATGTCCTGTATTTATCATTCTTTGTCATAAAACTTGTTCAAATTGCAAATAAAAACTCCTTAATTATTGAAAATATCAATTAGCATTCATTCTAATTAGACGAAAGTTGTACGTTTCCGATAATGAAATAAACAAGAGCAGCAGACGTAGCTGCTGAACAAACTTTTGCACCGTTGAATGCCAATGAATTTAAAAGGATTTTAGTTACAAAAAAAAAACAAACAAAAAAACTCGCCGATCAACGGTTTCTTGCGTGAGGATTTCTTTTTAACGTTTTAATTTCAATAAAAGTATTTACGTGGGGAAAAATTGTCAGCAGAAATAGAGAAGTTGCCAAAGCAAGAAATAGAACAGTCTTTTTTATGTCAAATATTAAAGTGACACTAGGAGATAACATTCGTACAGTTAAAGTGATACCAGACACATGAAAAAATCCAAAAATGAAAATACCCAAAAATACACAAAAACATGGTATTACATATTTCACAAAAATTAAAAACGCTTTAAAATAAAAGAATACAAACCACCAAAGCAGACGATACATTGATGGATAAAATAGTAAAATAATAAAACAACTGTTGACTTTTGTAAGTATCAGTTGATACCTTTATTATCGAAATATTTTCTATGCACTTAAATTTTTTAAAATCTGTGAACTAGTATCTGATACTAAATGAATGTCTTTATAAAAATATTGAAATGTGGTATGATTGCTAATGAGACAACTTTCAAATAGTGACCAAAGGAAAAAGATGTAAACAACTATACGTCATCGTGCGGCTATGTCACTGAGCCAGCTCTTGTTGTATTGTAAACCCCGGCTTGACAAATGTGAAACAGTTCAAATGAGCAAAATCAAACTACTTGATTGATGCTAAGACATTAAACAAAAAACAAGTACAAAAATGTCGCTAAGGTGTGGTATAAGTATTAAAGATGGTAGGAACAAACTGATCCTCAATTTGGAGAAGTATTTTCGGCAAGATTAATTTAAGTTGAAGGAAGTTGTCAATTGTAGGCGAAGGTAAGTTTTAAAAAGGACTTTTTATTAGTAAAATCTTTTCTAATGTTAAACGGTCTCAAATGACTATGACGAACAATTTTCAAGAAGATAGCCGTAAGTTTGTATTGGTTAGATTGGATATTTGCAATATGAGTTTCTAAAACAATGCTATACAAAACATGACGTTTCGAAAGATGCAGTGAGTATAGTTTTGCCGGAATGTAATGTATACCAAAAGGATTGTATGTAAGGGTCAAAAGAATACACAATGAAAAATGATGAAAAAAAGGTTAAATCACGAAAATACTGAACTCCGAGGAAAATTCAAAACGGAAAGTCCCTAATCAAATGGCAAAATCAAAAGCACAAACACATCAAACGAATGGACAACAACTGTCATATTCCTGACTTGGTACAGGCATTTTCTTATTTAGAAAATGGTGGATTGAACCTGGTTTTATAGCGCTTTACCTCTCACTTGTATGAAACAGAACGGGATTTATGCTGCGTCAATTTATGTA